GCTGCTCATTACCCAAAATACGTTGCGTGTCACCTACTGCTCGTGGCCTCACGCATGCTCACGCAGTGTTTGATAGCACCATTGACTGATCATGTCGTGATGACTCCGTTCCGAACCTGCATGGTCGGCAGTTGAAGCCCAACGTGTGGTTGACTTCTGTCAAACTTTGCACTAAACTTTCTCTCCTTCAGGCAGAAGGGCGAGTGAGTCCCTCTACGTGTTCACCGTGATGAAGGTCTATCCCAGTACCAGGTCGAACACATGAATATGCCCCTTTAAGTAACCAGGCCCATCCTCGTCGATGTCTGGGTGTCACCTGTCACTACCTCAAAAAGCCCTCGTACTCTTATTGTGATTTAATCAATCTCGTAGAGTTCGTACTGTGCGACAACTGGTGGCACGGCATCCGGCAACCTGTGGCACGATCCGCGATATGAAACAGCCTGACAGCCGTGTGCTACCACGTCAAAGTATGACGAGGATGCGCTGGTGTGGAAATGAGTTAATCAGCAGGCTGGGCCCCATCGTGGCCTTCTCGGCTTCAGCCGCATAGCGTGCACTGAGCTGTTCGCCCTGACGATCAAAAGAACGATATGTGGTGGTGTGGTGATGTTTCGAATGGCACGGTGCTGATCGTGGCCCTGTCAAGATAGGTGGCGTTGCTGGCGCGTCCTCAAATGGATTGGTAGGCGCAGTCGAGTCATGGGTCCGCTTCGACTTGCTCACCACCATCCCACGAAGTGTTTAGGCACGAGATGACGAGAAATTTGACAGAAGTATGTCGTGATGAAGTCGAAATGTTGGGCTTTGAGGTATCGCAGAATATGTTGTGCGCAAGACGCAGCTGCCCAGCGATTCCTGTTTCAGAAGTGTTACAGACGCGAGGAGAGAAGTAGACATCTCAACCGCTTTCCGTGATGCGTTCCGTAGACATTCAATTACCATCATGAGTTGTATGCGGATTCTGATCTTGTCGTTCGCGACATGCGCATTTGGGTTGTACGCCTATGCGTCACCGCAATGCCCAAACGCGCCGCATCAATTCGCGGTCCAAGCTCAACTGCCACTCCAATTACCACATTGTCCATTCACCACCGGCAATTCAGAACCATTGCCGAAAGAGACGCCCCTTCAGCACTTACCGTGGTCGCACGATCCAGCCTGTGCTCAAGGGAAGCAGAAGAAATATTGCACCTACACGACTTTCGAAACAAGAGGCGGACATGCTTTGAGCATTATCGCAAGACCTGTAGCTGCAAATGCGATATCTGCGGCCTTCCTAGCTCTGAACGGGGAACACCAGGGCTTGGATGATGGTCTCGAAGTTCGGGCCTTCCCGGGCAAGGGCAAAGGCCTAATCACCACAAAGGCTTTGGAGAAAGGAGAAACGATATTACTCGATACTGCACGTATCATCGCGAGCTCGCATTTTCCTACGCAAGTTACGCGTGCGCAAGGCCAAACACTCTTCAGTGCCGCACTTGATCGATTACCTCAGGCAGATCGGAACTCGGTGCTCGCATTGGATCAGAGTCTGGGTGGCAGCAAAGTTGAAGACATCATGAAGACGAATGCTTTCGCATGCCAGCTCGCTGATGGCGAAGTAGACGACGCTTACATGTGTCTCTTCCCTTCCGTTGCCCGGATTAATCACGCGTGCCAACCTAATGCGCACGCGCGCTTTGTTCCGAAGACACTGTCGATGGAGATCAAAGCTCAACGGGACATCGCCGCTGGGGAAGAGATCGGTGTCTCCTATGGCAAAATCGACTTGAAGCACGCCGACAGACAAGCACTCTATCAGGAAGGCTGGAACTTCAAGTGCACTTGCTCTCTTTGCACTGCTTCGCAATACGACGTGGCTGGTAGTGACCAGCGCCGTGCGAGGTTCGCCCAACTCCGGAAGATGCTGGAGAACTTGACGGCGGAGACCTACGATGCCCAACAAATTGTTGCTTGGGAGAAAGAAGTGATGGAGATTAGTCAACGAGAGGGTTTGGATACTCTGCTCGCCCAGGACTATGAGAGACTGGCGTACGTGTACGCAGGCCATGGAATGATGGCAGATGCCAGACGTTGGGCAAAGATGGCCAAAGAAAGTTTATTGGAATGGGTGGTGGTTGATGGGGGTCCGCGCAATCAGATAAGGAGGATAGAGGACTTGCTCAAAGAGCTGGATGGCTAAGTCAGGGTTGTCATTTCGCGGTCTGATAGCTGGGGCTGCTGGCTTGGGCTACGAAGATGCCTGAAGACGGACCGGAAAGACTGTAAAGTTCATGGGAAATGTACCATTGCTTAGAGACTCCGCGAGTGTTCGCTGGCAGCCTTCCGGTGTCCGCGCGCGACAGCCGTGCTAGTAAGCCTGCGGTGGCTGAACGTCTACAGGGCTGAATGAAGCGTCTTGCGATCGTGACATGGACCGTGATAGAGGACGTGATCGGGTCGGTCCATCGTCGTCCATAGATCTTCATTGCAGCCTCCGAATACTCCGAACACCCCACATTGCATCCCCGATCCGTCGACCGTGCTTGAATAGACGTTGTTGCTAATGTCACCCTGCCCGATCCAACCTCAAAAGGGTCCGGAAGGCTGGTCGCAAGATGACGTGAGCGCCAGATTGGGCAGTAGGCAAGTACACTGGGCGGTGGAATTCTGAGAGATGAGGCACCTGAAGACTGTGTGTTTTAATTTACAGCCGTAGTTCGTCATCACGCGGAGGCCCTGCCGGCGCCGCCAACAGGTAAAAACTCTGGATGGTGCCGCAGGCCAGGGTGCCCAGATCTGCACGCACCGGGTACAGGCGAGCTCGAGATCGTGGGCGATCCTCCAACAGTCATAACAGGCAACGGTCGAAGAGGTCATTGCGCTGAGTAATCTCCATCGAGAAGGACCTTGGAACGATGAAGATAGACGCCACCGATGTGATGGGTTGTTTCCTGATCGGCGAAACTGATAACATCTGACCTATTGACCGACCGAAGGAACGATTGATGCTTGCTACCACATCCCCGCGATTGACAGCTCGGGGCGCTCGCGGCGCCGTTGTCAACGGTGATATGTCGCAGCGATGGCAAAGAGAGTTCGATGGTGGAAATGCAGGTACGTGCCGAAAAGGGGTCTGTGGTGCTGGACTAAGCGGCACTTGACCAATCAGATGCTAGCCGTGGCCTACTCCGCCTCGCATCTCAAACCTTCCACCACACCTGGCGCATCATCGCCTCGACTCTTCATTTGCTACGAGCCTCCCGTCCTCTTTCACTACCTACCTCATGCGGCTAAACGCAAGCAAAAGCATTACTGAACGACCCGTTGTCAAGTGACAAAGCAAATGCGAGGCGCGCATCAGCAAGCGCCATCTTCGCGTACGTGGGTCTGAAAGCGCGCATCCCTTGAAGCAAGTGAAGGAGGAAGCGCCGTCGGGCCTTGACGAAATAGACTTTGTCGTCTTTGTACCACTGCTTCCAACGTCGAGGCTGTTACACTTGCCTCGAACTGCTTGTTAGCTGCGTCACCCATGCCTCCGTATACGGGTCCATGGGTCTTTCGAAGACCAGGTTTGATTGTCCAGTTTCAGATGTCGGCGGGGTCTACCCTGTAACCAGCGGCTTTGCCAGCTGAAGAAGGTTGTACAGGGCTTCGCCGCATAACATTGCGAATGTAGGGCTAGAGACTAAATATGGACCTGCATGTCCTGTCGACAGCAGATGGGATACATTAATGCTCTAAAACATCCTTAGGTTCTCCACACATCCAGTTCGCTCATCACATATCTTCAGTTCATCGCGATCAATTGCTTTTGCAACCAGTCACTCCTTTACTTGTTTTATACTGTCTTTTGTCTAATATGGTGTCGAGTCGGTCCCTCCTTACGGTCTTCGCGACCTTGATCGCAGTTGCTACGAGTCAGCAATGTTATGCCGTTGACGGTACAGCACTCGACAAAACATACACGCCATGCAACCCTAGCGCCAATCACAGCGGATGCTGCGCGTCCACCGACATCTGCATGAGTAATGGGCTGTGTATGGGAACAACAAACGAGTCGATCGGTATGATCTTCTCGCGAGGATGTACAGACAAGGAAGGAAAAGATGCAGCATGCCAACAAGACTTGTGCCCTGGTGGTAAGTTTTTAAACATTTGACTCATCTTATGTTCCTCAACTAACTCACTTCAGTTTCCAACGACTTCCTTGGTCTCAAGCCAGTAAAAGCATGGCAACTACAAACATGCGACTCGGGAACATACTGCTGCCGCGGCGCCGACGACACGAAGAGCTGCTGCAACAACCAGGCCGCACCCCATATCACAACCACCTTCAGCGCAACCCTCCAACTCCAAACCCCGAGCCCGGCTGCCGCAACCACTGCCCCACCTCCCAATACTTGCTCAAAAGAAAAGAAGGAAACGGCAATAGTCGGCGGTGTTCTCACAGCTGTCTTCACCATGATCATCGCAGGCCTGGCTTCCACTATATTCTGGATGTACAAGAGGGAGAAGAGACAGCGCAAGCTAAAGGAGCACTACGAGGAGCAGTTTTCGCAAACCAACGCGTACCGCAAGGCACTGGCGTCGAGCGCCGGATCCTGCAGAGGCAGTGTCATGATGGAAGACTTGAAGCCCAAGTCCAGCCACGGTCCCGCATGAGGAGTCACACACACACTCAAACTCAAAAAAAAAGTCTTTCGTATCGTCTTTCCACTTTAGCGTCGGTGTTTTTGCGGGTACAGGCAGGCACGGTGATGATGGGACAGGGTAATGTTGAGCTCACGCCTGGTACCGATCCTTGGGTTTTAGCCCAATTTCCTTTGTTCATTTCGGCAGTTGCGAATACCCTTCAGGACTCTCTTTCCTTTGTCTCGGCTTAGATATTCGGTTATGTAGTGACGACGGTTGGGAAGGGAACAACACTTAGATGGTTGATGTGGAACACATTCTGAGATGTAATAGATATAATGCACGTGCATTTTCATCCTATAATATTGCGACAAACATGTCTATCATCGCTCAACTTCACCCAACTTCCCCATGAGCAGTGCCTCGACCTTCTCTCCCTTCTTCAGGCTACCTTCGCCTTGTGGCATACAAAGCAGCGCATTCGCACCTCTGAAGCTGCCAATGCGGCTACTCCTCTGCCCGCCTGTTGAGCTGGCGTATAGCAACCCATCTTCTTTCGTCACGACGAGCGCACGGTGATACTCTGGACGACCCTTGTCCATCCTCACATCCTCATCCAGTATAACCCTGATTCTTGGTAGCCCGAGTGGCTTAATTCCAGCTTGCTGGTGCAATGCAGGTAGAACGAAGAGATGGAAACACACCACGGCTGAAGCTGGATTGCCAGGAAGCGAGAAAATCGACTTGGTGACAGGGTTTCCCTCATTGTCCTTGACGGGCACAGTGGCGAACGTGGTGGGTTTACCTGGCTTCATGTTGACACGGCCGAAGTGGATCGTGCCGCCGAGAGAGCGCTCGATGGTTGGTTTGAGTAAGTCGAGTTCGCCCATCGAGACGCCACCAGAGGTGATGATAACGTCGCACTTGCGCATCGCGTCTCGGAGACTCTGCTCAAGAGTGCCGGGTCTGGATTTGGTCAGCGACAGATGAATCGGATATTCTTTTCCAACTCTACTTACTTGTCTGAGACGATACCCAGGTCGATGACTTCGAACCTATGGCTTCGTGCGGCAGTGATGAGAGTGGGACGGTTTGTATCGCGCACTTCTCCGAGTCGCAGCGGGCCCTCTCTGTTGTGTGGGATGATCTCGTCTCCTGTACTTAGGACACCAACGACAGGCTTCTTGTAGATCGACACCTCTGTCGTACCCACAGACGCAAGGAGGCCAAACTCGCCACCCACGACTGTAACACCTTCGCCCTTCTTCAGGATGATCTCGCCCTCTTTGACATCGCTGCCAACCTCTCGTACGTTTTCGTTCGGCTTGATCTCATCCGTCAGTATCTCGATCTCTTTCTCTTCTTTGCCATCATCGGTCAAGCTCTTCAATACTGTATCCTCAACCATGACCACAGCGTCAGCACCGGGTGGAAGCGGGGCGCCAGTCGTAATCCTGGCAATCTCCCCTTCTTTCAACTCCTTGACCTCGCCAGGCTGTGCATGAGATATGATTGAAACAGGGTAAGTTCCTTTTTCGAACTTGCCAGTCGCTGGAATCTTGACCGCATATCCATCGACGATGCTGGCTCTGAAGGCCGGAACAGACTCAGTGGCTTTCACATCCTCGGCAAGGACTGAGCCACTAAGTCTCATGTCTACTGGCACTTTCTGTACTGTAGCAGCTGGGGTTTGCTCCGAGATTAGCTTGAGCGCGTCTTCAACAGCCAACATAGGGTAGGGCGATGATCGATATCTGCGAGTTGGTCCCGCGGAAGGATCATTAGACTGGGGACGCTCTTCTGGATTCGTGTGAGCTTTGGGTCCTACGTGGCCGCCGTGACCATGTGAATGTCCATGATGGTGATGGTGGTGATGCCCACTTCCAGCTCCTGTCATTGTAAGTTGCAGTGTTTCTGGGGTGAATGACACATCACGTACCTGCAGTAGCGCCACCCGAAGAAACACCCGCATCTTTTTCGAGCTTCTCTACACCACCGACGTGCAGCGGTCTCGACTCTGCACCGGCAGCTTGAATACACGCATGTGGTAGTAACTTCAGAACTGCCTCTAGGTTCTCTTTGGCACCTTTCGGTGATCCAGGCAGAGTCAATATCAAAGTCTTTCTTCTAACTCCAGCAACAGGTCTCGCCATAAGAGCAACTAATCAAACGTTAGCCTGGACGACCAGCTTGGTGTTCAAAGACTTACACGGCGTTACGGCGTAGGAAGTTGTGAGCATGCCATGTCTGGTTGTATGTGAGCCTTCGCATACGGTATCGAGAGAAATCGCCTACATAAGACCAGGAGCATGTCTATCAATCAGCGGCGTAACTGCCTTGTTTCTATTAGCTGCGCGTCTTGGGCCATTTTGAGAATAAGAGCGCGCACCTCAGGTGTGACATCCTTAGTCGCGAAACCAGTACCTCCGCTAGTGACAATCAGATTGATTGGCTCCGGCCTGTCAGTCCAACCTTTGATAGTCTTCTGGATCGCGAGAGCGTTGTCGGGTACTATATCGGTCTCGTTAACGTCCCATTGGTCATTTCCGAGATCTCCGAAGACCTTCTTGAGGACTGGTATGCATTTATCGGTTGATGGGTCTTCGGAAGCAGTCTCAGATACTACCAAGATCGCTGCCTTCAACTTTGAGTCTGCGGTGGCCATGTTTAATGTTGTCGATGTTGAGTCGAAGCGGAGTAGACCGGACATCCCACCCTGTGGACATCGTGCACGGGCCACTGCTCACACGCCGAGTCGATCAGATTCACCAGTTCACTCAAGAGAAACATCCAACAACATTGGAAACAGTAATCGATAAATGGTATTTAACGCCGATGCTCGCTCATATTACATGCATTATACAAGCGCCCCTTCCTATGTACACTGTACAACCTCTACAAATGACCTTCAGTAACCTCTTGACCAGCTCCACAAGCTGGCACTCGAAAACACTCCTCCTTGGCGTCCTTCTGGGCGGGATCGAGGTTCGATATAGATCGTATAATTGTGCCCCTTGGCGAAATAGCGAGAGCTTTTCGCTCACTGGAAGTCCTTGGCATTGCTCTGCATGAGCAGTCCAATGATGAGACCGAACAGTCCGAGAATGGCAGCGAAAATCTCGATGGTGAGGATCTTGACGAACCTATAACAAAGTTAGCATCGAAATAGAGACCCAGGATATACAGCTACTTGCATTGCAGGGTCCGCAGCATCGGCCAGGGCCGCGCTACTTCCGTTGATGCCCACGCAGACACCGCAGATCAGGTTGCACATGCCCACGGTTATTCCAGCCCAAAACAGCGCGTATCCAGTGAAGTAGTTGGATCCAGAGTACAACAGCTCAGGGTCCGAGAGCTGGTTCATCTTGGAGGAGAAGATGATGGCCATGATGACACCGTAAATAGCGACGACTTCGCAGAAGATGATGGAGATCAAGTTCTTGGTTCGTATCCGTGGCGCCTTAACACCTCCACCGACGATGGACACACCGGTTGTCCAGATGCCCCTTTGCGATTGTCAGATTCGATGCGTGTGTGTGCCTGACAGTCAGACGTACCATGCCGAGCCTACGACGGAGAGACCAATGCATAGCGCAATTCCTACACTAGCAAATGTGTATGGCGATATGCTTTCGAGGAAAGCTCCGACCTGGTATTTAGTCAGCGATGTCCGTATCAGGTTGGCGGGAACGCGTGCGTACGTTGAAAGCTTCGCCTTCGTTGTTGAAGAGCATGTCTGGAGGTCGTTAGCTATCGCCTACGCCCCTGCGCGCGGTACATACACAGGCCCACCACACCGAGGGCGGCGGTCGCACCGCCCGTTCCATAAGTAAGAGACATGTTGGGTTTGCTGGTCGTGGAGGCGGAGATGGATTGTGAAAGAGGCGGCTGGAGCTTCGTCGTGATGGACTCGCCGCGAAGCTGGCGATGATGCATGCGGAACAAGCCGCGTCGCGCTAGCATCGAACGGCTTAGTAACCACCACCTCGGCGCGCCGCCCCCATCACTCTTCCCGCTCAGGCGTCACCGAGACCAAACCACCAGCTCGTCGCAACTATCAGCACCATGGCCACCGACAACACCAAGTACTACGAGCTCTACCGCCGAAGCAGGTACTACATGCCACTCTGGGGGAGCATAGCAAGGAGCGCTGGCTAACAGAGGACAGCCTGGGCGGCTCTCTCACTGACACCCTGGACAACCTCATCACCGAGCGCCGGATAGAACCCCAGCTCGCCATGAAGATCCTCCTCAACTTTGACAAGGCCGTCGCCGATGTGCTCTCAGAGAAGGTCAAGTCGCGCTTGACATTCAAGGTCAGTTGCGCACGGGCGATCAGTGGGAAGCATCGTGTGCTGACTTGAAACTCCGCAGGGACATCTCGATACCTACCGCTTCTGCGACGACGTATGGACCTTTATTATCAAGGATATCAACTTCAAGCTGGACAACACCCATCAAGTCCATGCCGACCGCGTCAAGATCGTCTCCTGTAATGCGAAGCGTCCTGGCGAGGCCTAGGCGACTCAAGGGATGGTTAGGTGCACTGCAAAACGGCAAGAAGGAGACAATCGCGTTCAAACAAATGCGTTTGCGCAAGATGCGATCTACCGGCTGGAGCAGCTGTCTCTCTAGAGACCTGTGTCATCATATGCTTTCGGCGTTACGGCTAAAATAGCCTTGGAAGGCTTTCACGATACCTCTGGCATGAATAGGAGTTTGGGACTGAATGCGTCATTCGCGTTGATTTGACGCTGATAAATTGGAACAATTATGATCTTTTGCATATCTGGGCTATCGTACTCTTTCTGCTACACTCAGGTGATTGACTTCGAGTGGGAGTGCAATTATAGTGAACTCACCTTGACTGGTAGCCGATGGAAGAGCTGGGCAGTAGACTATGACTCCCAGTAGCATGCGCACTACAGAGCACCTGCCTCATATATTGCGTCAAGATGCGACCTGCATGTACTTCTACCCCATATTGACTAAGCGCGGAAGTGCACCCGGTCGTACCTTGCAGATCATCAACTTGCATCCGTGAACATCGACCTCATTCCCCGCAGCACCCCAGTTCGGCCGCGATCATGTCTCTCCCGCAAACGAAGTCAGCGTGGCTGATGCTTGCCATCTCCAGTGGCGCATGTGCAGCTTTCAATGGCGTCTTCGCAAAGCTGTAATTACAGATACCGCCGCGTCGCCCTAGCCCACGCTGCATACTGACGATGATGTAGCACAACCACAGAGCTCACTGCCTCCTGGTCGAGCTCCATAGCCCTGGCATTCGGGCTGAGTGCGTCAAACAAGATTGTTGAATATGCGATACGAGGGGTGCGTCCTCCCAACCTGTCATGCCTTCTATTACCCGCACACAACTAACGCAACGCGCAGCTCTTCTTCGGTATGAACCTCGTCTTCAACGCGATCATGTGGGGGCTCTTCACGCGTGCCCTTACCCTCGCTTCCTCGACCGTACGCGTCAGCATCATAAACACGTCTGCGAATTTCATCGTCACCGCCGTCCTTAGCTTCATTATCTTCAGCGAGAACCTACCGGGGTTATGGTGGCTTGGGGCAGCCATGCTGGTAGCTGGCAGTGTGATCATCGGAATGAGGGAGGAGACGGAGAAGAAGAGTGTGGTAGCTACCACGGGAGAGGCCCCACTTCTCGACCGCGATGGCGACGCGAATGCGGACGGCTTTAGAGACGACGAAGACGAAGGCGATGACACAGTCGAACTCAACAGCGTGAAGAACACAGGAGGAGACAGCAGTGACGAAGACGGCGTATTGAAATAGACAGGACACCAATCCATTGCTGCGACTGTACAATCCGGGTCCCTCCTACTGGGTGACGACAACCAATACCGCGGTACCGCGTATGCGCATGAGCTCCTACACCTCATTTTTCCGTCACCGACACATCGCTGAAAATCCCTCAACAGGCCGCCCAGCAAGGGTACAATTAGCTTGCTAACAGGGTCCAGTGCTTTCACGAACAAACGCAGCACAATCTTGGTCCATCGCCGCTTGAGCCGGCACAGTACATTATCTCGCGCCGGGAGGCACACCTTTTCACTTTTCACTTCCCACCTGGAGTGCGCAATCGGTGGGCCACAGAGTATTTCACTTTCTGGTTCGCTTGCTGCCCACTCTCCCTATATAAAACCCGGCGCACCTTTCTTCCCTCAACTTAACACTCCCTAGCAGCCCCAACTCACACTCTTTTTACACCGACCTTTCTCGCAAAAATGTCGGACAGCCCAGTTCCCGTCCTTCTGAGGCCTACGGCCGCTGAATTTGTTCCCGGCCAGCTTGCGCATCCCAGCCCTGCCTCGAGCGAGCGCGTCTCTTCCCCTGCGACGCCGCCCCAGCAAGGCTTCAGCGCTCAGCCCCAGTACCAGCTGCCGCAACATCCTCAGGGACTGCCGTTCTGCAGCCCTGGGTTCTACGGGTATCAGCCATACCCCCTATATGATGGCTACACCCACTACTACAACCAAGTCCACAACCCGTTTGACTTCAACGCCACCCCACCCCCTTACTACGAACAAACCCAACGTCCTATGTGGGTCCATGAGCACACCTCCTACATTGGATACACCGAAGGCACGCCCGAGCCGTTCACAAACCAGCACCGCGAGGTCAACAGCGTACGGACCGGTAGGATGCCATACCAGAACCATCACGGGGAGCATCATCAGACTGGAAATGGTGTCGGCCCCAACACCCCGTTCAGGAGGAAGCCTAGGAAGAATAACCGCAGAAAGTATAATCATCGGGCGCGGGAACAGGGCCAGAACCAGGATCACGAGCAAGACCACGAGCAAGACCACGAGCAAGACCACGAGCAAGACCACGAGCAAGACCACGAGCAAGACCACGAGCAACAGCAGAAGCCTGGGGGCGAGGCCAGTGGAACCTATCGACGAAACCCGCCCCGTGAACAAGACTGAAGAGCCTTGAGATTCTTACAGCGAGTTTACGTGCAAGGCACGATTGTGTCAGTTGTAAAAATGACAGGCGTTCAGGCATTCCGGCGTTCAGGCGGTTCAAAAGCAGTAATAGAGATGACTGCGTGTACGCCGAATTGTACGTTTATCTAAACAGCGATGGAGTTCAGGCGCGATAATGGAATTGGAGCATGTACAGCGGCTCAACACGGAGTTTGTCACGGCGACACGATATCGAAGGCGTTCTGGACTTGGTACTTTCATTCCTTTCTAGTACTTGTAATAACTAAAAAGAGGTGGACCGAGGCTGCGATTGATTTCTTTTCACATGGCTTAATTTCTGCCTTTCTTGTATTTGTGCGTTGAGTACTTTCGATTCATGTTACTAGCTTAGCTATGTACATCCCCCTGTATTAATGCAATCGTCTCAGCCCCTCAATCAATCCCTTGACTTCCTCGAGCTCCACACCCAATCCCTCAATGGCCTTCCTTTGTACTTCCTCGCTTACATCCAAAAAGCGCTCCACCAGTTCTCCGTCAACGAAACGCATGGGTTCCTCTTCTTCTCTAACGGTGTTCTTGAACGCGCGGAACTTGGCAAAGTCCATGTCTCCAGGTGCGGCGACGAGGGCACCGAGATTGGACTGGAGCGTCATGAGGAGGTTTTGGTAGTCGGGTGAGATGAGACCGAAGAGGTAGATTGATCCCTCGA